ATTCTAGGCGCCACACAATAAGCACCCTCACATTACTGATGCGGAACCCTTGGCTGTCGAAAGCGAATACGCATCATGATGGAACAAGTCGAAATTTGAATGTGTGATTTTGGTACAGGCTGTATTCGGCCAACCCTAACCGTGCCGCATCACTTCACCTCATATCGTGCATTGCCGCATGAAGTGTAAGTGTGAAAGCCAATGAAAGCCGTTTGATAAACACCGTAAGTGCACCACCCATTTCGTAAAGGCATGTTCCAGCCCCAGCTGCCCAGCGCATGCGAAAACCTTTAACCCTTCTTCTTGGAGACACCGACGGTTCGGCCGCGACGACCGGTGGTCTTTGAGTGCTGACCACGGACACGGAGGCCCCAGTAGTGACGGAGACCACGGTGAGCGCGGATCTTCTTCAAGCGCTCGAGATCGTCACGGAGCTTGGAGGCGACACCGTTGGCGAGGACCTGGCTGTTCTTGCCATCGACGATATCGCGCTGCCTGTTGAGGAACCAGGCGGGGATCTTGTCTGCAGGGTGTCAGCGTCATTATCCCTGTTGGAGAGATGGTCGTGGCGTACACTGGAGGGGGTTCTGGATGATGGTAACGATACGCTCAAGCTCTTCGGAGGTGAGGTCACCAGCGCGCTTGGACAGATCGACATCGGCCTTCTTGCAGACCAAGTTGGAGTATCGGCGACCGACACCCGTGATCTTGGTCAAGGCGTACATGACCTTCTGCTTGCCATCGACGTTCGTGTTCAACAAACGGATGATGTATTGGAAGCTGGTAAAGTCAGCACTGCTCTCGTTGTGCGAATGTGCCTGCGTTTGTGCGCCGCCTCTGTGCGTAGACCTCCGCAATCCGAAAACCATCAGCCATCGCAGTTGGCCACTCCAGCCCGAACAGCACAACAAAGCTTCCCCTTGCACAGATAGTTCCCTTCATCTTTCCGCAACGCCTGGTGCGTACGATTGTCTACTCTATTCCCTCCCATTGGCTTCCGAGTGCTGTCGGACTGGAAGGCGGCTGCGAGGTCGTAGGGATTCATAGGACTAGGCGGTTCGATGCGAAGGAAGCCGGGGGCTGAACGGGGAATCGCAGGCTCTTGTATGAACGTACTTAGACTTCTCTCCGGAGACGAGCGCTGGAAAGTTGTCAGCATGTCTCTATTACGAGTGTCTGAACATCAATTATTGCGACCCCACTCCACGCGCTGGGTGAGGCACACTCGGCGCAATTAAAGCCAGGGTCGCAACAACTGATGTGAGTCGATAGATTCCGGGTGTACTCACACATGATGGCGGCTTGTCGTACGTCGTCGATGTGGTGTTGTCGATGCTCTTACAGTGGGAGGAATTTCGATCGTTCTCGCTTGCGAGTGTTGGCTTGCCAAGGGAAATGGCACGTGCGAGCGTGCTAACCGCTTCGGGCCTCCGCTGGCAAAACCACTCCGCTCCTCTGCCTACCCCATGTGGGAAGAGTGAAGCGCCAACTTGCTGCGTATTGTGAGCAGAGGGAGACATTTTGGGATTCTATTTTGCTGTTGGAGTTCATGTGCGTCTGGATTCCACGGAGCTTGAGGCTGCAGGGTAGACGACAACCTGCTCACACCGACTCAGTCTCTTCCTCGCATGAGCTGTGCTCTTGCAATTTGTGTGCTTTGCGTGCCGTCCATCGCTCGCGCGCGATACAATTCATCTCGCAAACTATCGGTCAATGCACTCGCGTGTGACGTCTTCCTTCACCGCTCCTGCCGCCATAGTTCTCCCGTCGTCACCCATGCAGTCCCAGTGCGGACAGTTTGGGGCTGTGTGCGCGAGCAGGCGACGCGCTGCCTGGCAATGCATACGTCTCTTTCGCACCCATTTGGGCTTGCTTACGGAACAACAGGAAAAAGCAACGACATGACCTAACAGTGAAGGCACGATAGCTATGTCTCGATCACGAGTGCTGCCTGTCATTCAAGGCTAGCACGTTCAATCGCATCCAGTCCTCCGCGTAGTACGCCTTCGTGTCGTACTTCGCGTGTACCAGAGGTCGCGTTCAGTATCGTCTCGATGCTTATTTTATCCAGGACGCCCTCTGAAGCACTTTTAGCAAGCTCTTTATCTATCATGGGGACTACTTCACCGTATTCTCTCGGTGAAATTCACACGTTTCCTACGTCACAGTTTGCAGTTCTCGCCCCAACTCTGTCGACCTCCATAGGTTCGTTATGAGGCGAAGCATCTCTAAGCGTGCTGCGCCACCGTTCGACCTCAACACTTTTTCCACATCGTCAAGTCATTTGCCAGGATGTATGGTGCCTGGAAGTAGGCACACAGTATGTGTGGCTGTAGCTGCCTTGCAGCCACATGTATGCCTGGCTGTTAAAAGCTCCGCTACGCCGTGTGTATGTGTGAAGACAGCACTTCACAGCCTCATCCAACTTATCCATACAGCCTACCCTAGACCGATTCGACCTTGAGCAACGCAGATACTCTTACACTATACTGACTCTACTCAATTCGGTCACTGTATTCGTCTGACCGGATCATCCTATGCATCAGGCGAAGAACTCTTCTGGGCAACACAGTCGTGGAAGCCGATTCATCGCTTAGCACTGGCACCGACCCGGACATTTCTTCCAAAGATGGATTCCCGGGCCCATATTATTACAGACGGATCGTTCACCAGTGATGAGCTTACTACTGGAACCGCACCCGTCGTCGAGCTTACCAGACACGACACAATTTCCTCCGTCGAAAGTGTTCCTCGATTATCTGAAGGCCGTTGGGCACTGAACCTCAGTGGAAACTGTTCGACCTGCCATCATCACCACAGATCTGTCCAGGTGCATGTTCAGGTGTCGGGCGATTCTACTGAATTCGGTGATGTGTATTGCCACAAATGCCAGAAATTGTGGTTGGCCTTCGGAAAACTCAACGGCACGCGCCTGTCTCTTCTCTCTACAAAGAGTCTAGAGCCGGAGACGCTTGCAGCTGAGGCTGATTTCCGCACAACTCTGGTTCGGGCTATACAGTCTGCCACTCCTATCGCCACACTATCTCCCACTCTTACCGTCATACCGGAAAGCACACCGGCCGGTCCATCCCGGGAGACATCTGTACGGTCAACCGCTCAGAGAGACGCCCAGCAACACCCAGCATCCATCGGCAGTCACCCAGGGCCAGTGTCGGTTGAATCCAGTAATGGGGAACAAGCTTCAGGTCTCAGTCATATCTGCTCGGGTGGCCAGAAGCATGCGAAATTCCGCCCAAACGCTTGGTCCAAAGGTCGGCAGGCCTTCTCTCGTCTCAGTATGAGGCTTATAGCACGACTACGCAAATCAAAGCCCAGTACCCCAGTTACGAGGTTCCCTGAGAGTAGCTCCGACCAGAATCGCCATCGCCGCGTCGGGGAATCTTTACCGGCTGGTATAGCATCCGCTGTGGGAACCTCGGCATCCCTGGATGAGTCTACAGAGGCTCACGTCGACCTCCAAGGCGAATCAACTCAGGAGTCTCCTAATGTCCGCGACCGGTCAGCTGCAGCCACGAATGCGCTGGTTTCGCTCCAAGATCTCGACCTTCAGGCGATCCATACTTTATCTCCGCAAGAGCGTTGGGAATGGGGCCGCAGGCAACTAGCAGACTTCAGAACCCAGCATGCCGTGTCCACTGTTCCAATCAGTGACCCAGTCATGATCAATAGTGGAACGCAGGCAAACCTTTCGGAAGATTCGCTGTTGTCTCATCGTCCACTTACCAGACGTCATTCTGCCTTGGCTTTCGTTGGAAACACTTTTGGCACTCACGACTACTGGGACGTCTTTCGGGGAAGTACGCAGACTTTCCATAATCGCCCACTAAGCATGAGCGAAGCGAATTTATCAGACGCCGAAACCGTTGTTGAACGAATCAGTATCGCTCCTACCACACATCAATTGCTCATCGATACCTTACATCGAGATCGCCGCGGATCTGAATCTTCGCGCCCTCTTTCGATGTACAGTATTGTGCACGAATGGCAGCAGTATGCTCGGAACAGGGCGGAGGTTCGACTATCGATAGACTCGGCAGCGACTGGCGGTGCTATCAGAAACATCGCTATAGGGAGGGCGCTTGCAAGCAATCGCCTATCTCGTAACTCGATGAATCGGGCGTCCTATTTATACGATACAGAACTAGGAGGGTCGAGAGTTCAGCTGCCAGTGGCGATGGAGACCGAGCGCAGCGATATACCGGAACACGCTAGCTCGCCTACCGTATCGCCACCGAGCCCCGAAGCAGATGTGAGATCACAGGGTTGAAGTCTCGATATGTCTGCGAGGCTCCGCAAGGCCCGGAAATCAGGGGCTCTTCGATCGTCAGTTTCACCTTCATATACGATGCTACGGTGAGTTACCACGGTGTCTTAGGTCGTTTCATTATAACGCTGCACGAGCTCTCCCTGATACTACGAGCCAGATAGCCTAGGGTGCATTCCTTAAATCACCATCACGCCTCACGATATGCTGTTTCTTAGTTTTCTTTCAGCACAAATGTATACAAATAGATCACTCTGCTTGCCTTTCGCCATCTTCGAGAAGACCCGTTTGTCAACATTCATCTCATCTTTTAATCTACCGTGACTGCTTCAAGGGTTGTACTGCTTGCGCCAGTCCCAGTGAAAATAGTTTGGCTCATGATGTGATTCAGGGCTGAGTGAAAGTCTACGCCAAAGAGGGCGTGCACGAGGGAGACTGCAGCTCCCAGCTACTCAGCTGTACTTAGAGTCGACTCTCCAAGCATTTCTTTCGCCTCCACAGTTGGGTGGGATTAGCCAGCACTTGTTTCTCTTGCGTGTCATCTCAACCAACACCATGACGCAACCAACAGATGCACAGGCCTTCCTCTCTTCCCTCGAGTCTCTCGAATGTGCCATATGCATGGAAGGATACGACGCCAATCACCCCCCTATAATTCTCGAATGCCATCATATCTTCGGCGAAAAATGCGTAAAACGTTGGATCGAAAGTGGCAATGGTTTGTGTCCTAATTGCCGCGCGCCTCTACATGGAGAAGAGACTGCTGTCCCAACAAGCGAAGAGGTTCAACCTCCACCAATCGAAGTACCTACAGGCGTTGTGCGAGAAGAGCCTGTAATTCCAACAAGCCAAGAGATCCCACAGCTACCAATGGAAGTACTGGCAGAGTTCATTCGAGAGGACAACATGGTTCGGTGGAGCCAAGAACCCCAGCAGCGACCGGTCCAAGTACCGACAGATTTCCTTCGAGAGCATAACATCGTTCGATGGAGCCAAGAACCCGAGCAAGGATTGGTCCAAGTACCGACAGACTTCATTCGAGAAGACAGCATGGTCCGATGGAGTCAAGAACCCCAAGAGCAACGGGTCCAACCACCCCAGCAGCGACCAGTGCAAGTACCTGCTGAGGTTATGCGCGTTGTAGCCCGTCAATCCGATTGGGATGTGCTAGTAAGTCAGCGTATGAGGTGGCTAGTATCTCGATCGGAACGTCTTGTAGCCTCTCTACTGCGACTACCCGGACAAGCTGGAGTCAAGCTAGGTCTACTTCGACGGAATGGTGCAGATGGCCGGTCCGCTAATACTCGTCCTCGGAAGCGCCTGCAGCGAAACCCAGAACATCATCCACAGGCTCAGGATACCCGTGGGATAGCCGATGCAGCACGTCGAGCGGGAAACGATAGAGGCGACACTCACCAGGCCACCCGCGAACCAATCGGCCGTACTGATATGCAACGGCTTACGGACGGACGAGACCGCCATTCATCCCGTAGCGTTTGGCAAGCGCTGCGAGACCGAGCACAACCTTCTCGTGCCCATCGGAGACGCCAAGAGGATCAGGATCGAGAGTATGCACAACTCCTCCAGCGTACATACGATGAACAAGATGACGCGTATGAGGCGTACGACGACGACTTTGACGTAACACACCGGCCTACATACTCGATACGTGACGGTGTACATGGGGCTCGCGGGCCACCATCAAATGCCTATGCCCCTCAGCGTTTCAGAAATGCAGGGCTTAACGGCTTGTATGACTGCGTCTATGAGTTCTACTAGGGCCTTCGGATGACAGGTGAGATGAGCTTGATCGTGTGAAGCGCCGAGTGCTAACAGGTAGTCAGGGCTGAAGCGTACAAGGGAGACCGAAGCCGTATCGGATGATGCGACTGTTTAGGATCTTGAAAGCGTACTGGAGGGTATACGTCGGCTGCTCATCTCATTGTCTGTGGTATTGCAGTGAAGATAAGGTTAACGGAGGGAGCTCATGGAGAGTCATCCTCGATCGTGCTGTTTATTATCCAAAAGTGATGTAGAGTTGGTCAAGCCAGAACGACCACATTGACTCACTAAGACTACACCGCGCAGATGTCCATGTTCCTCACCAGTCATCAATCATGTCATTAAACTCCTCACTCTCCACATCCATAACCTTCCTCGCTGCCTCACTTCCACTAACTGGCAACATCTCGAGTCCACCATCTTCATCATCATCATCTTTCTTCTTGAATTCCTTGGGCACCTCTTCAGGATCCAGCAGGCCAACCTGGAAAAGCACAGAAGCCTGATCCCAGTAAAATCTCTCGCACCATATCTTTCCCGCTCTGAATCCCACGATGCTCACAACGACTATCTCTACTTTCTGGTTCGTTGGTTCAACACCGGGAAGGATCCAGGGCATCTGGCAGGTATGTTTGAACTGGATGTAAAGTTCGTCTACTATTCGGTCGACGCCTATTGTGCGCGAGATGAGCCGCATGTGCATTGATGGTGGAGCTGTCTTGAGAAAGTAGTCGCGATAGAAGCGCTTAAGGTCTGGATGGCCGCTTGCACCGGTCATGGTCGGAGTAAAGTTTATGTACGGTGTCGGGGTTTTGGTGTAGGTTTCGAGAATCTTATCGAGCGACTTTCCGCGGTATTTTTCTGTTGAGTATTAGCTTCTACAATACATGCGATAGGTCGCCATGCATACGCTCTTCGTTTTCCTCCCATACCCGCTCCAGATCCACCTCGGCGCTGAAGCCCTTCCGAACAGTGCTCAGACTCCTGCTCCATGCGATAGCGTCGGCCACGGCGTCGTATTCATCTAGATCGTGCTCTGCAAAGCCTGCATCAACGCCCTCGTATGTGAAGCACGGATACAGTATCTTGTCCTGTAACCCTCCCGCGCCAATGCCGTGCGTGACGCGCTTCTGCACCGTTCGTCGCTTGCCTTGTATGCCAAGAACTTCGGGGCGACGCGTCACGCCAACGGTGATGTCGTTTCCAGATGTTCCCTCGGCTAGATGCACGAGCACGCGAAAGGACGACGTGAAGCGGTGGCGTGTATCGGGAATGGAGGACGGGTAGTAGGCGATGAGGGAGCAGAGCTTCGAGGTGGCAGTCTTGGGTTCTGAGTAGACGTCTAGACACACGGCTGCAGCGTCACCGAAGGCTACAGAGACATAGTCAGTGCATGATTCGGAGGGTGCTGGCGCAGAGCACGTATACTCGAGACATGCGCCAGAGTGTGAAAGGGCTGTATACCCACGATTGCGTAGCGTTCCCCAATGCCCATCTTGTCCCCCAGCTTGTGAAGCGTCTGCACGTATTGCTTGCCACCTTTGCCCATGGGGATGTATTCGACGATGAAGCCCTCGTCGCGCCATGCCTTCATAGTCTCGATGTCGAACTCGGCGTCTTCGGCTGTGATGTACAGCACGGGCGTGCTGCTCCGGAACGACAGCCAGCCATTGCGGTCAGCAAGAAATTGTTGCGCCATATCGTGGTCCAGCGTCGTTGTCGCAAAGGCAGGCGCGCTCACGCGATGGCTGCAGTAGGTCCACTATAGGCAAGCGTAGCTATCCCGGTTCCGCGTTGGTAGCGTCCGATGATGGTTGGGACGTTCTCGATGGCGTATTGCAATGCGCAGTGGTTAGGCCAGCCCTTTGCGCGCGGATGGACAAGGTCAGAGCATTCATGGATGCAACGGCGCATTGTCGGTGCGGGCTCACAAGAATCCTGCTCGAGGCTGGTCGCATGAGGATTTAGTGGAGTCGCGTCGGTGTCTCCAATTCGTGATGACGTAGGCGCTGCAAGCCTCCTTCGGGACTAGCCGGGATGCAGCACATGCAGGAAGCCGCCGTCTCAACACCGAGGATCCTGACATGTTCATACCCCATGGGATATCGTTGACGGGATTCATACGCTATGGGTACATGTATCGCGGGAAATATCATATAGATTAGACGGCAACTGGTAATAGGATACGACTTGCTTTCGACCATGTGCTCAACTTTCTAGATCAAACAAAGCTGGCAACCCAGACATCCATCGCCCTGACCCCCATTCTACCCCCGTGGATGCCTTCTAGGCTCGCCTCACATGCATCTCGCAACGCAAAAATAACTCCCCGTTCCCTCTCATCCTTCACGTTCACCTCTATCTCTCTCTCAAAAGAGGGAGAAAGGCAAGCGGAGACTTCCCATTGTCCATCCATCAGTCCTTCTTCACTCTGTACGCGCGTCTCGCTCTCCAGCTGCCACCCGGCCGCTAAAGCCAGCTCGATGAGTCGTTTTGGGCCCAAGACAGTGCGAACATTCGAGGTGCTGTTGCCTTTACGGCACTCCAGCGCTGCCTGCGTAAGTGCTGCTAGTACATGAGGCTGAGCGGATGGATGTGTCGCTATCAACGACCATTCAGAGAGGAGAAGACGCTTGCTGTGCTGTCTGATGGCACGGAAGGTGGAGAGAATGAGCGAGGGGGTGGGGAAGTACCATAGACAGTGGGCGAGCACTGTCGCGTCGAAAGCTTTGTCGCTGCTGGTGGGTGCTGAAGAGATAGAAGATGGTATGGGAAGGGAAGAGAGGTATTCCAGAGGGGGTTGTTGAATCCACGTGATTTGTTTTCCGAGCGGTCCTTGTGAGATGTGATCTTGTGCTTGGCCGAGGGTATACGGAGAACCTAAAAGGTCATAAACCCACTACGTCTATACGCCTACCAGGAAATCAAGAAAAGAATAGTTCGGAAGGACCTACCATAACCCAAGTCTGCTGGATCGACGGCCACTACGCTCCCTTGCTCGCCAACGGCGCAAGCTAGGACAGTCGTACAGTCTCCCTGCCCGCATCCTAATTCGAGCACCTTCGAGCCAGTAGAGATGTTCCATTGCTGGAGGAGCCTTATACGGTGGAGGGTTTGGGCGTGCTGAATGATGAAGTTATGAGGATCGTGCAAGGAAAGACGAGCAATATAGGCGGCGTCGAGTTTGGCAGCCATCTTGAGCTCGATAGGTGTTGGATAGAAGATTGCAGATGCTTGAATTGCCAGTTGAATCGTGAGGGCATTTATTCAATTCCAGTACTATTAGGCAGAAGCTGGTAAAGATAAGGCGAGTATTGAAGATGACTCTACCGCCTTGTCTGAGTCAAAACCTCCGGAGATAAGGCACGATGTGGAGATACGTAGGAGGACGCGCACTAGACTCATCCCACCTTCCGAATTAGACTGCCCAGTCTTCCATCTTCGCTTGCACAACATTACAATTTCGACCTAGGCGCCTCACCATCGTGGTTCCATCCTGGCATGTCCGCGAGGTCCTTCGCACGAGCCGCCCTTCTTGACTTCAGCGCATCACCAGTACCAGGACGCCATCTCCATGCATGCGCGAGGTCATCTGCCAGTGTACCTTCGAGTAACTCGACCACATGCTTACCAATGTTTGGAAGTAGCTTGAAGGTATGGCTACATATCAGGTCAGTAACTCAGCAAAACAGCATTCGTAACGAGGAAGAAACTCACCCACTATCTCCGGTAGCAAGCACGAAATTTTTCCAATCAGGATGTTCGCACATCAAAAGTGCCGCATCTGCTGTGTCTGTACACCAACACAGATGTCTGTTGAACAACTCTTTCTCTGTGAACTTTGGCAGGAACGTCGCAATAGCTTTGCGGATGCTGACCTCGGAGGCATCCGGATAGGTATCTGTGGGATGCTTCGCGGCAGATCTAGGTACCGAGATGCGCTTTGGTGCCGATGCGCCAAAAGGCTGATGATGCTTGAAGCGTGTGAAGCCTGGAAATTCGTCGCAGACTTTGATGACGCCGTGTTCGTCAGGCTCGAAGAAGAAGCCCACGTCACCGTTGTAGACTACAGGGACGTTCTTGTACTCTGCGGCTTCGCTGGGAGAGAGTTGAATGTGGGCATATACCCATGCCTGAAGACGTTAATTTGGAAGTAGTTATCTGAGCTGAAATAACATACCTTCGAGACACACTGGTCTTGCAGATCGACAAGCACGGGACTCCATGGACCAGCCGCAAGAACCACCTTGTCAGCGTAATACCTTGTGCCATCCACGGTTTCAACACCAACGCACACACCTTCAGCCAAAAGAGGCTGCTTGAAGGATCCTGCTCCACCGAAGCCGAATTTGACGCCTTGATCGCGCAGATACTCACCAATGGCATCGATGGCCTTTGCTGCAGCAAGCCAGCCGCCGTCATCGCTATAGACAGCTTTCCAACCTTTGATCTGTTCGCGATCTAGGAGTGGCATCTTCTTCAAGATCTCGTCCTCCGAATCTAGCCATTCTGTTGTTGTCTCTAGGCCAGCACCCGCCTCGAGAAGAGCCTGGTAAGCTTGCTTGAGGTCCTTGAGACCCTTTTCACTGTGGGCGCAGTCAAGCTGCAAATACCATTAGTCTCTAAATATATTTCATGCTAGGTTGTGCTTGAAATACTCACTCGACCGGTGTTGTGAAAATACTCTTTGAACAGATCGTCTTCTTTCCACATCTGTCTCGCCTCCAGACTCAACTGTAAGTCCACTTTGTTCCGCAAGCGGATGCCCATGATCTTGTTCAAGTCATTTCCAGCCGATTGTGACGATGGTATTGGGTACGTGTCTAGCACTGTGATGTTTGATGGTTTGTATCCTGAGCGTACGAGATGTAGGGCTGTCGACGACCCTATCGTCCCGCCACCACCAGCAACGATGACGGACGTAGTTTCTCGCGACGGTGCCATGCTGAACTATCAAAGTCTATCGCGCTTGAAATGGCTCGCGTGTTGGAATGGGGAGGCGCTGCCGGAAGTCGTTATCAGTAACGACCCACGATGTAATCCCGCCGGTTAAGTATCCCTAGAGGCTGCACACGCCACCAGCACGGTGACACGATGGCGACGCATTCTCCACGCGCCAGATGCGAGCACGCGAGGTTTTGATTGAGTAATTGAGGCCTGCCGTCCCAAGTATCGTGGCCGTTCTCGCTTGGCGATCCCGACTGTTACCCCTTCCAAACGGGGTTAGGCTGGCGGACGTCAGCGATGCGTCAAGCCAGGGCGGTCTCCGATTCTGCCCGGTCTGGGGATGAAGCAGGGCCACGACCTTCCATGCTTGACATTGCGATAACAGAACTGGGTCTATGCAGCCAAAGGGCGATATCAACAAACCTCTTTTCTATAAAAGTCGCCCTCAACCCGCGGAGCACCTGAACAGCTGACTCACGCCTTGCATCGACCCGACATCCAAGCCTCGCAACCATGTCTAGCGCAAGCTTACCATCCCTTAATCACATTAGTTTCCAACCTCCACTTTTCCAAACTGTTCGCACTTCCATATCCAGCCTAGTCTACACTCTCATCTAAACTGCCCTTCCCCTCGGAAACCGGTCTATCACCGGAGCGATTGACTCCACAAGTCCCTATCAGCTGGACGGGAACGACTCGTTTACCCCAGCTTGGGGTAACATAGTTCCGGGATCCACAGATAAGCCGATGCTGGTCGCGCGGACAGACGGTAGAAGGTAAATGTGTGCGGGAGAGACATGGTGTATATAAAGGTCGCGTGCGATGCCTTTGATCTCGCCTCAGCTCGAAGCTCAGTCGCACCTGCTCCGTATCGTTTTTGGTCTTCCCAGTAGGAGTACTTCAAGATGTCTAAGTTCGACGCTGCTCCTCCCAATACACATGCCGGCGGCGACGACGATGCGCTCCGTACAAAGGGCAACGACCCACTCAACGCTCCTCCAACATACGATGTCGCCGACGAGAGAATCAATATGGAAGAGTATGCTAGAACAGTTCCAAAGTGGAAGAGAATATGGCAGCACAGCTTGACGCAGATGCTGCTACTCAGTGTGCAGGCTTTCTGCGGTCCTGCGATGGCTGATGCTATTGCTGGTAAGTCGTCTTTGAGCTCATGAAACGGTACTTGGAATTGATAAGTTTGCAGGCCTTGGTGGAGGTGGTCTCGCTACTCCCCAGACTTCGAACATCGCGACCGCTGTCAACTACACCATGCTTGCTGTCTGTTGTGCTCTCGGAGGACCCATCGTCAACAAACTCGGAACGAAATGGGCTTTGGTCATCGGCGCCTGCTCGTTCCCAATCCGCGGCTCTTCCTACTACTGCAACTCCAAGTTCGGAAACCAATGGTACTTGATCTTGGGCGGCGTGTTTACTGGTATCGGAACCGGCACTTGGTATGTTGCAGAATCCGGAACTATAATGTCACTCGCGCCAGCTGGATCTCGTGGCAAGTACCTGGCACTTTGGATCGTTGCTAGAAACTTAGGACAGCTTGTCGGCGGTGCTATCAAGTGAGTTTTGTAGACTGAAGCCCACTTCGCAGCAGCTAAAATTGTGTCCCAGTCTGTCAAAGAACCATGAGGAGGGTGTCGTCGGAGGTATATCTCCGGATACCTACGTCGCCTTTTTGATCATCGAATGCATGGCCTTGCCATTCGCCTTGCTCATCTCGCCTCTTGAACGAGTCGTACG